TTCCCTTTAAAGGCCATGTAGGGCGCCCCGGGGTGGTGGGTGGGGTGGACGGGAGAGGACTTCCAAGTGGAGGCAGCTCTCTGAGCAGGACAGAAGTCTGCGAGGTCAGAAGGCTGAGTTCTGTCCCTGGGAGCTAGGCCTTTGCCTTCGCAGATGATGTCCTAGGAGGGCTCTGGACGCTCCTGGGCAGGGTTGGGGGACTGTGGGGGGGGCCAGTCCCTGGTGGGTCCTCGGCTGTGGCTGTACCAGGGCCGGTGGCAGGCTGGGCAGGCCCCTGCACGTGGTGTGGACTTCGCCACCCACCGTGACCCGAGGGTACGGACCACAGGGCCCTGGGAGTGGGGAGGGGGTGGAGTATGTTTGTGAGGGTCCACCCTGGAGAGCCTCTGGAGTGAGGACAGCCGCTGGTTTCACACACCCCTGTGTCTGCACATCATGTGCCTTTCTCCGGACAGGAAATGTCAGGAGGCTAACGAGAAGGTCCAGGAGCTCCAGGCCCACCAGGAAGCGAGGGCTGACCAAGAGCAGAGGATCAGGGTGAGTGACTCCTTCTCAGACGCAGGCTGTGTCTGGGGGCTCTTCCCCTCCTGCCTCCTCGGTGGGGGTGTGCTTAGGGTGCCTGGGGACGGTGAGCTGCCCGCGCCCTGGTACCGCTGACATCGCTGCCTGCCTGTGCGTGGTGCGCCCGCGCTTGGTGCTGGGGATGCCACATGAGCGAGAGGAGAGAGCGGCTGGGCATCCGGAGGTGGGGGCCCTGCCTGCGGAGGAACTTGGGGCTCCGGACCCCAGCCCGAGTGACCTGGGCTCCCCCCGGCCCCTCCCCAGCCGGCTCCCCCGTCGGGCCTCCCCGCTCCCTCTGCTATTCAACGTGCTGTTTTCGGGTACGTCACCTCCGCCCTGGCCCCACCCCCCCGCCCACCTCCCCGGATTTGCTCGCCTTCACGGCCTGTGTCTGCCCTTCCACCAGAGCGCAAGTGCAGAGGCCTCCTGTGTGTCCTGCGTCACCCTGTCCCCACTGCATGACCCTGTACCTGCCACAGAGCTGGGCCCAGTAAACATTTGTTGACTGACCAACCGAGCCTGTTGGGGGACCTGCCACTGCTGGGTGCCGGTCGTCCTCAGGGTGTCTTGGAACCGGAGATCTTAGAGGAGAGGCTTTGTCACGTGGAAGAGACTCGCTTGTCACTTGGGTGCTAGTGTGGCAGGAGTTGGTCTAGCATGGGGGACGTGTGTGTGTTTCTCCGATGCGTCTCTTCGGGGCGCCGTTGCCGCATGCCCTGGGGCAGACCCGTGCTAGGGTCCTGCCCCCGAGTGGGCACGACTCCCCTGGAATTGAGCGCTGAGGACGTGGCACAGAGGCACACCTCGAGGGCGAGCCGGGGCCGTGGAGGTTGACTCTGTCCTCTCTGTCCCTGGCCTCACTCAGGATTTGGAGCAGAAGCTGTCCCTGCAGGAGCAGGATGCTGCGGTCGTGAAGAACATGAAGTCGGAGTTGGTGCGGCTGCCCAAGATGGAGCGGGAGCTGAAGCAGCTGCGGGAGGAGAGCGCCTACCTGCGGTGAGGCTGGGTGGGCGGTGGGCAGCGGCTGTGTGGGTGGCG